CCCCCCCCCCCCCGCCACAACCCACGCGCGGTGAGTGCCCGAGGCTTTCTCCCCTTCCGGCCGGGCGAGGCACCCCTCCGGGCCGCCAGGGCGGGGCAGTGGCCGGGCGGGGGGGGGGGGAAGGGGGGGGGGGGGGCATGAAGGGGGGGGCGGGAAGACGCTCCAGCCGCCGCCTCAGGCTCGGCGCCACGAAGCTTTGCCGCGGCAGGAGATAAAGTCAGACGGCTCCGCCATGATGGAATGCAGGCTCCGGCGCATGCGCGGTTACCGCAGACGGGAGCGCGGGGTGGCGGGGGGGAGAGAGAGAGAGAGAGAGAGAGAGAAGAGAGGGCGCGCGGCCGGGCGCGCCAACCACAATGCGGTCTCGCTCGCCTCCTGCGCGCTCGCTCTCTCTCTCTCTCCATCCCTTCTTCCCTAGCCGGCGTTCCGCAAAGACCTTATGTGCTAAGGAGAAAGGACAGCCGTCGAAATAGGCTCGGGAGGCAGACATTTGGTGTTTTGTTTTGTTTTTTCTCTTCCCCCTTCCCCTACGGCTTCTTACAGATTAACGGAGTTGGAAGGGACCGTGTGGGTCATCTAGTCCAACCCCCTGCCCAAGCAGGAAAAAACTCTACACCGTTCTACCCCTTGAAGAGGTTGCGGGCTTCTGAGTCCTGCAGAGCTCTTCGTCAAGACCGAAGCAGAGGGAAGGGAGACCTGCGCGGAGGGAAAGAAAGGGAAGGAAGAAGGACATGACTGGGGAGTTGAGACTGGAGTCTTTTTCCAGTGGGAGTCGAGTGGCAGATAAATTTAATAAATTATTAGGGTTTATTGCACCGTCGGCCAGATGTTTTGGACTGTATTTGGCATTTCTGGCCACTTATCGAGTCCTTCCCAAGGACCTGGGATAGGCAGATGTGGGTATTCGGTGGTGCTTAAAGGTATTGTCGCGGGATGTAAGCTGTTCCCAAGTAAAGCTGCCTTTTGCAATTGACTGATGGGGATTTCGACAATGCCAGTGGTGTTCAAGTGGTGCTCCAGTTTGTTTTGAGGTTGCACCAAGGGCACCTATTATTATTATTTCTACTACTTTTGCTAGTCTCATTCTACTTCAATTTCCAGATCAAGTGGGGACTAGAACTCTCCTATTCCTGGTGACTGACCCAAAACTACCCATCTGTTTTTCATTGCTAAGGTGGAACTAGAACTTACCAATTCCTGGTGATTGGCCCAAAAATCACCCAGTTGGCTTTCACACCTAAGGTAGGACTAGAACTCCCAGTCTCCTTGTAATTGGCCCAAGTCAACCAGTTGGCATTCATCCCTAAGGTGGGACTGTCCTTTCTGTGTCCCCCAAATATTTTTGGTAACAACTGGAGGTTTGTCTAGAACAGAGGTCTCCAAACTTGGCAACTTTAAGTCTTGTGGACTTCAACTCCCAGGATTCTCCGTGGCTGGCTGGAGAATTCTGGGAGCTAAAGTCCACAAGTCTTAAAAGTTGCCAAGTTTGGGGACCCATCTTGCCATCAAGACCAGATGGCAGTGTTTTCATGAGTCAGAATCTACCCCTTGCAGTTTACGTTTGGAAGGGGGAGTTTGAGAGTCACAGGAACAGATGATTGCAAGTGATGCAGTGAGTTGAACCCACTGCTCCTTATTTCGGCTCCAGGACTAGTGGAAAATTGTCCTGCCAAAAATTAACCCCATTTGTAAGAGGGTTTGGGTTAGATCAGTGGTCGCCAACCAGTGGGCCAGGGACCACTGATGGTCCATGAGAAAATTTGGGTGGTCCACAGAGAAATGTCATCCCCAAAGCAACCCCCAAAGCAATTAATGCAAGCTGTGTGGGAACAGAAGGCTTGCGGTGTTTGTATTGTGAACCACATAAGGTAGTGAGGGGAGGGGGGGAAAGGGCGGAGGGGGGAATTTTCCCCCCTCGCCCCACACACCTGGCCTGGCCACCAGGCTGCTTCTTTCCGGTTCTTTCTTCTTCTGCTTTTGCAGCAAAAGTCTTTCTTTCTCTCCCCCAAACTCTGCTAGAAAGGAGTCTTTGGGACCCTGCAAGGCATCTGACTCCAGGAGGCTGTGCCATTCTGGTGGAGTTTGAGGGAGAAAAAGAAAGACTTCTGCTGCTTCTGTTGCTTTCCGGGTCTAGAAGAAGAAAGCATGGCTAAAGAAGCACAGTCTTATGAGTAAATATGTACTAAGTTTCAAGCCGTTTCGTAAAATTCCCTGGTTGGGTTCAGATTTTCTTGTTAGGAAGAAGATACCTGACTTTTCAGCATTAGAAAATATACCCTTGAGCATGGACAAAGAGATAAGAATCCGTTCTACCAGTCTGGAATGCAAGATATGGCAAACTCCTTTAGGTTCCGGTGCTGTCTGAAAAGATTTAGGTGAAGATATCACAATTCATTATAATTCAACTATAGCATTGCAATCAATAAACATAGCTTCCAGGCAGAGTTGACATTTGGATAGCATTTGCAAGCATTGATCACCTCTGACACACAGATGTAATTCTTCCTGGGATTTTTTGGTTCCTGAGACACAGCAGCAAATTTTCTGCCTGAATCCAAGTACCACAACACCAAAAATTTATCAATTATCTTTGGTGCCCAAAGCAATAAATTCATTGTAATGCCTCTCCTAAACCTTAGAACCTTATCAAATTAAGCAACTTGCAATTGATTTCTCCAAAATCCATATTGTTCATCCCCACCAGATGTGTTGTACTTAGTAAGATGGCTTGCCTTAAGCCAAGGGTCTTCAAACTTGGGAAGTTTAAGACTTGTGGACTTCAACTCCCAGATTTCCTGAGCTAACATGACTGGAGGATGAATTCTGGGAGTTGAAGTCTACAAGTCTTAAAACTTCAAGTTTGATCCCTGGAGTTTAAGTTTAAGCCATGGAGTGAGTATAGCAACAAAATGACCCTTGAACTCCTTTGCATTCAGATTCCTAATAGCTCCTGAGTGGAACTATTACAATGGGTAAAAGGTTGAGGTAGAGGAGGGCTTCTCCAAATTTGACAACTTTTAAGATTTGTGGACTTTAATATCCACAATTATTCAACCAACCGTGCTGGCTGGGGAATTCTGGGAGTTGAAGTCCACAAGTCTTAAAAGTTGCAAAGCTGGACATCCCTAATGTAGAAGATCTATTATATTGCTCCCTATGGAAGTCTGAAAT